AGGGACGCAGCGCAGGCTGCTGTCAGTCGGCAGCCGCCCGCACAGAGCTCTCCGTCCCTCAACCGCGCCAGCGGTGCCACTCGCACACCGTCCGTCCGTCAGTTCGTGCGTCCGTTCTTCTTTTTTTTTTCTTCTTTCCACAATCCGTGGTTCATCTCTGTGAATGCTCGGTATCCGTCTTCCTCCTTTTCCACCGATCTTCCCTAACAGTTGGTGAACAGAATCACTTGAAACTCAAGTCTGAGTCCTCTATGGAATCACTGAGATGAAACCTGATGTACTTTACTGAACCGACTTCCTTTAAACCTTTGCATGATTAGTTACTATTTTCTTAGATGATTAAGCTAATACGAGGTAACGCGAAAACCTTTTCGGCGTCTTCGTCTTCTTCAGGGCCAACGATCCGGGTCGATGGTCCCGCAGTCGTTGGTCCTCCCGTTATGGGTCTTCGTAGTTGTGCCAATTTCGATCTTCATGAATGGAGCACTGCTTTAACAAATAATAACAAAACATCCTCGTGTAAGCTGAACAATCTGAACAAAAAAAAACTCAGTATGTATTTTATGTGTAGCCACATTGTTTCTAAAAACGTTGTGTTCCGTTGGGTTGAATATTGTTGGTTGAATCTTTCCGTTAGGTTATATGCCATTCTAGCAGACGCCAAAGGCTCACGTTGCTTTCCTACTATTTCAGAAACTTGGGAACTTGGACACTGGGACTTCCCGTCTTCACTGCTGTGCAGGCACCAGCACAATCTCCATTTTTTTCTTTTTTTGGGGACTTATCGGTTGTTGAGCCATTGTGGTTTCCTGGGATCCCGAGGTCAACCTGGTCAAAGTCTGCTCCATTTCAGAAACTTCCATTTATTAAAAGTAAACCAGCTTCTTTCATCGTTGAATGCAAGTTGCTGCACAGGTAATGTACGATGACTTATGTGATCCATGTGTTTCCTTCGTAATAGCAAATTGTTTTATGACGTTAGGGTACGTGTACCACAATAGTTAGAGGTGTCCTGCGATACAAACGTGGTCGTAGGCTCGACACCACGTCCTGGGATCGCCGAGCCCTCCATCCTACGGAGAGAAAATTGCTGCCAGACCTGCCTGGGAGGGTGATAACACTCAGCTGATACAGTTTTGAATTACGGAAAGTCATCGTACAGGCCAAATATGAATTTAGTCTCCTCTGACGCTACCGGATAAAGTCGAATGTATGGTGTATTCGTCAGCAATTGATCAATGTCAAGTGCTTTTTCCTTTGTTCGTCGTCCTCATGACGTTACTACTGTCAGATGTTTACACGAACCATATGCTATCTAATGTGTGGGTGGTTTTATTATAATTCTATTCAATAATCCATTCATCTTTTATGAACTGCTTATGTGAAAGGGGAGAGGACCATTGAGTGACACCAGAGAAGAATTCTGGGACTAGAAACATCGTGTTTTCTCTTCCTGGTAGTGTACTTGTTGTTATGGTGAATTGTCCGGAAAAACTTCAGTGCTTAATTGTTCCATCCTAACGGTTTACCGCCTCATCGTGGCTGGGAGGTGTTCCTGGGTGTCGGACTGCGATGTACAGGGGGGCAATTCATCCCCCTGGCAGGGTCTCCTAAGCTGAGATTTTTAAGTCTAATGGAGTCCGGCGTTTCCATCTAGCTAAGGGTAAACCAATACCAGGATCCACCACCGTCCTGGTATCAAAGCCGCTTGGTGGTAAATCTCCCTCTGATCTACAAGGGCTGCAACTGCCTGTGGTGGTGAAAACCTGAGGCAGACTGGCCAGGCTGACCTCGACATGCCAAGGAACCATAATGGCTTAACCAGCAAATCTCCGAAAAGTGGAGATTATGCTGGGGCCCGTACAACCAGTGAGGACGGTCCGTTCAAGTATCAAGTACCAAGCTTCATTGTTCAATTACGTCTGTTGTAAACCAAATCGAGAACGAAAAACAACATCAGAACAAAAGATGGAACTGTTCCTGTTCGTTCGCCCATGGTTCGTTCAATTTTCCCAAGCAAGCTGGATACTGTATTGCGCTTTTTGTTTAGAAAGAAAGATCTAAAGCTGAAGCATTGGCCCCATCTTTACTTGTTAGGACCACTTATTCTGATTTGTACCCAATATTTCATTTCATAGAAGTCACTTTTGCTTCCCTTTCCAGATGATTTTCGTCTTTTAGGCTTTATTTGGCGAATTAGGCAAATATTGATTTAGTCGGTTACTACGGAATTTGACGACTTTGGCCAAAACGGAGGTCGTCAGTAGCACTGATTCATCGCCCATTGAGAAATTTCTTTAAAAAAGTGTATGTAGGTACTTTGACAGTTAACTACTTTTAATTTAGTTACCAACTTTCCGGACCCAGATCGGGTGGTCTTAAAAAGAATGTATAGTCTGTTTGGGCTTTGAGAAATGTAAAGGATAAAAAAGGAAAAGCTCTCGACGTTGATCAATTCCACAGGGTGCGCTATACATTCGACTTCATTAACCCTCGTTAGAGTTGAGTGAATGCACACAGTGACTCGTGGCGGCCTACCGATATATCGAGCTAGCGCTGCTATCCTTCCAGACAAGTTTGGTACCAATTCGCCAATCCCAGAGGGATAGAAGGCTTTGTGGGCCAGGGACGCGGGGAACGATCCCAAGTGTATCGTAGGGCGTCTCCAACCATTGCGCAACACTCGGAAAATATTTTAATAATAATTCATGATTTCGAACTCTAACGAATATTTGAATATCGTTTATAAGTAACTATTAATTAGTTAGCACTTCTTTCGTATAGAGCGATGTAATTGGTCCATTTGGCGTCTAGTTAATCCCAAAGCGTTGCGCTCACGCTTTCGACTTCGTTGGAGGACCATCGAGGTGATTGAATGCATATTTGGCCAATACAGTGATTTATACTGGCTTAACGATGTAACAAGTTAGTCATCTGACTCGGATTATCGGCTCTAATGAAGACGAAGACGTCGGGACGTTGGCCGAATACTGTTTTTTATCATCCTCGTGTTATCTTTTTAGTGAAAGAATATACATTGATTAGTCATACCGAGGTTAAAGGGAGATCGATTTTTGAAATACTGTTACGCTGTGTGCTAGCTGGTAATGATGCGGACTTCTACAGGATGGATTATTCGGAGAAAGACAAGTCATTATCAGCGGTCAATCAATATCAACAGCAATTGTCTTCTGTAAAAGAGCATCGCCGGGTGAGATCGGGACTGCTTTATTAGAGCAGTGCTCCACTGAAGAACATTCGACTCGATACGACAGCGGAGACCTCACAACGAGAGTACGAGAGATGGTGGACATTGGCTCAGAACATCGGCTCTGCTGATGACGAAGACGTCGGAACGTTAACCGCCGAACAATGGTTTTTTTTAATGACCTCGTGTTAGATTATCAATGAATCATCCCAGAGAAGTCTGCTGCTAATTTGCCAACCCCGCATGGATGGAAGGTTACGTTGAACCGAGGCGTAGGGTTGAACTAATGGCATATCGCACCTCTACCACTGCGCTACACGTCCCTAAAATGTGTTTTGGGTTTTTATTTTTTGTTTTTGTATCTTTTTTCGTATGATTATAAGAATTCTACACAGGGAATTGTGACTATTCTGTTGATGAGCTAGGATTTCTGGCCCTTTTCAGCACAATCATGAAGGAAATTATGACCTGCTGTGTTAAAAGGCAGACTACTTGTTAAATCATTGCTAGGAAGTAGAGTATAGTTGTAAGTTCTGGGTTAAAGTGGTTACGAAGACCTCAATGCTATTTTTCGGTGGCCGTGACCGCAAGATTCTCGGACCACAGCGAATTGTTGGAACAAGTCGAACGGAATTTTCTGGAGAATTGCTGAACTCTGCAGTATCTCTGGATGTGTCCTGTCAATCAGTTGGGGACACTTTGTACTTTTCTTATCGCAGAAGTACTTCAATTACGTTGTTACTGTGGTTCGCTGATACGCTTTTCAATGATTTTTACTGGCTTTGTAGTAGTCGTGCGCTTACTTAGAGAATACTTAGACGGTTCATCTTTACGAGTTGGAATAGCACCTGACTCTAGTCCTAACTCAGAGTTGTTGTACAACATTCCTTAACCCTCTAAAGATTGTCCGCTACCCTTGTCAAGGCGGATTTTCAAGCTTTAGGTTAGACTGTTCAGAGATTCAGCAATTTACTCTTAGACCTTAGTGAATCGCGTAGATGGTTCGATTCCCTACATCATCACAGTTGTCACCAAGAAAAAAAAAACCTCTTAATACGTCGAATGTAAGACAGTCGTGATTCGATTTTTGTTAATGAGTAGATCAAAATGCTAACGTTAATGAGTAGATCAAGTTAAGCTAAGATGAGATGTTTCACTTTTCATATAGCATAAATACGAAGACGGAAGTAGTCAGTGTCTTGTTACGGTAACTGCGATGTCGATCGATTGTGGCGTCATTGCGCGATTATCAGCAACCGACGCGACGGTCTTGTGGCCATGGCGCAGGCTCAGTTCAAGTTTGTCCTGATCTTTTGCTTTTCCAGATGAACAGACTTTTATGTGGGAATCCTAAGCTGAAAGTACTACGACAGCTTTCTATCCTTTCGTTACAATCGTTCCATAATTATCGACTTCGTCATGCCGTTATTACTCTCTTAGGTTACCTCACCGGAGCTACACGAAGTGTTCTGAGCTATTTTCCAGATAGTTTGGTTCCTCACAATACGTAGTTGTCATCACTCTATGACGTTTTCTACTTTGTATTGATTGGCTTCCCCATTACAATTGTGCAGCCCGTATCCGCTTTGTTTTCGTGTATTCTAACGACTACCCTATTCTGTGAACAGTCCTTCAGACGTTTTTTCTTTATTCAGGGCACTTTAGGGTGTGAGAAACACGTGGGAAGAGTTTAACCCACGTGTGCACTCTTACATTACTCTAGCACATTTACTCGACTACTCGAAAACAAAACGCTGACGAGACTAACTTGTGAACGGCGCTTTTGGAAAGAATGGCTTCACCACGCTTTGATGGATCACCCGAACATCCTTCACTCAGTGTACACAGGTTTGATATCATTCACACATTACGCACAGTCATGTAGTACGATCAGAAAGATTTCTTTAAAACGAAAAAACAAAAAGAAAAAAACTGACAGGACTTGTTTCATTCTTGTCCATTAGGGAGTCTCTAGGTGAATGGTTCTATCCCATCGTACATATCAGTACCTGTGTAGGATCGTCGTTCCTTCATCGTTCCTGAGCAGCCTTCCCACTACATTTTCTAGGCTGGAACCGGATTGTGGTGACTATGAAAGTGTGGTGATGGTTAAACTCACGGATGAGATATGCTCTGCGCTTCTGACAGCGCAACGAAAAGGACTGCCTATTCGAATCCACGTTGATGAACAGGTGCTGGGCTTTTGTGTTATTTCTAAACACCTAGTTATCCAGATTCCAAGGCTTCCTACGCTTTCGAAGTTGGGACGATACGGTTCCGATAGCTTAGAGAGGGTCATATTGTGGGTTTTCGTTCTTCAGGGTGGTAAGTGGGAACTCGGCGATCATCCTAATGGCAGCCAAGTGTTCCGCTATCAGCAGCAGGCTTTACCTGGTCCTCCTACCGATGCCGTAGTCCACGATCCACGAACCGGAACGCATCGGACTATTGCTGCTTTCCGTAGCAAATATCAGGTAGTTCCTTCCTTTACTGTTTCATTTACTACATGATAATTTAGTATAGTTTATATGTGCTATCGTTTTTCTAACCATTACTGATTTCTGCTTGCTGGCATGTGCTACAGAAACGTGTATGGGCATACGTATTTAATACTAATATAGTGATTGGGTGCATTTAGCGCAGTGCTCGGAGAGGCGTCTTGCAACATAAATGGGACCGATACCCGCGCTCCTGGTCCACCAAGCCTTCCATCCCTCCGGGGTCGGCAAATTGTATCAGACTTGTCTGGGAGTGTAGCAGCACTGGCTCGATACATCGGTAGGACACCACGAAGCCAATGTAAAGGACGGATATGCATTCAATCACCTCCAACGATGCTTAATGAAGTCGCATACATGGCGCATCCCACAGGGATTGATCAACGCCGAGAGCTATGTCCCTTATCCTTTATATTCTTCGCCTAGATTTTAAAGGTCCACTAAAATCGCAAATGTTTGACTTTCTTTGCACTAAGAAAACGTCCAAGGCAGCGTTTGTGTAGCGGATCATTGTGGTTACCAAGATTGTATTGACGAGAATATTTCTTTTACCGTGTAGCAATGGAGTAAATAGTCAAATAGGTTATTAATCAAGTTATTGTAAGAAGGATGATGTTAAGAGCATGACGGTACGATCATATGGTTGTGGACAGGGAAGATTAGGCTCACTAAGGAAGTTGAAGAAAAAGAAAAAGGAAACTAGGCTGGGGTTACGACATCTGTGGTCTTCATATCATAATTCTTCTGTTGATTTCCGTCTAATACGTTTCTTAGCGCTATTATTGGGCGTAGTGAAAATTACTCTTTACGAAATCGATCTCTTATTGAAACCGAAAAATCGCTGATTTGCTTACAAATGTTTTTAACGATAGCTCACATAATCCTAGTTAGCATTGTGCTGAGTAGTGTGACATTTCATTCCGATTTCTATTGGGGAAATGATGGCGCGTGTAGCGCAATGGTTGGAGTTGCCCTTTAATACAAATGGGTTTGATCCGGTGCCCCATGGTCACCAAGCGTTCCATCACTCCGGAGTCAGCCATTTGGTACCATACCTGTCCACGAAGATAGCAGCACTGACTCGCTACATCGGTACTCCTCCAAGAGTCATAATATAGACCAGACATGCATCCAATCACGGTTGATGAAGTCGGCTGCTTGGCGCACACCTCAGGCAGTGATCAACACCGGGAGTTTTCTTGCTATTTTTATTGAAGAATAGGAATATGGTTCGGAAAAAAGACAAATCGAGGTTGGAAATCACGTGAGCTCCCGTAAGCGTAATCATGGGCTCGAAGCCCAACTGAAGATTTCGGAGTTTGCTCATATTTAAGCAACTCAATGGTTGTTTTAGCATCATACCCTGTCATGAGAAAAGAATCGTCAGAAAATAAAATTTAGAGCAGGTAAATAAAGTTTGTCTGATAAGTAGTCACGTACGATGTTATTCGACCAACTTTTTATAATGCGTTCATATCTTATCATTTCAATGAGCAGAAGTGTGGTAAACGAGAGGCCTTATGACTCTGTACGCACCAATTACTTTTCTTATTTTTCATTAGGTTGAAATGTCTAGACAAAACGCAGTGGAACGCAAGGGTTAAATTTATGGAGTTGTACCATATTTTATGGGCGCGTGTAGCACAGTGGTCGGAAGCGCCCTGCAATACACATGGAATCAATTCTCGCGCCCTTGGTCCACCAAACCTTCCATACGTCCGGGATCTGCAAATTGGTGCCAGACTTGTCTGGGACGATAGCAGCGGTGACTCGATACATCGGTAGGCCACCGCGAATCATTGTAAAGTCTAGATATGAATTAAGTCTCTTCTAACGATGTTTATTGAAGTCGAATGCATGGCGCATGCTTAAGGGATTGATCAACGCCGAGATCTTTATCTTTTATCACGTTTTATGCCATTTGGTTTTTGGTTGTAAATGTGATAATGTTTTTGGAATGTTAACAAGGCAACTATGTATCCACTTTTGTTGTATTAGATGTATGGTGTTACATCGAACGTTGTAATGTAGAATTCGTTTACGATTCACTAATTTAGATCGTAGGGTTTGCATTTTTAGTGGTTTTCTCCAATTTGGTGTTAATGCTTTCTGGGTACATGGATTCTTCAGTGATCAAGACGTAATGGATGAGTGCAAATACTTAACGTTTAGGAGCTTTCAGAAACTCACGTCTTTCTACATATTCGGCATCAGCAATTGTTTCAATACTTCGTTGTTTAACTTTTTCGGAAATCTATTAATTATCGTCCAAAATTCGTCTCTAGTTGCATGTCACAATGTTTCGAGGAATGAGTTGTTTTCATTCGGCACTGGAAACCCACAACAGAATTCGTAGCTACGATCTTCTTGTTCTCGTCCAACATGCTGGGTATAATTCTTCCACAGGCTCTCGAACTATTATGTTGGCTTTTCTCCAGTTAATTCTTCCAAATGTGCAATAGCAACAGTGGGTCGTACCTTCCTTGCTCATCTTTATAGCTGAGGTTTCGAAATCGTAGTTGCATCCTAAGTTTACTGGGTTTCCCTGGCCGAAGTTTGCTTTCGAAGGTCGCCTTGCGACCAGGTTTTAGTCTTGTTTTGGTTTGCTTTTTCCATCTCTATTTCAGTGAAGAAAGTTGACATGAAATGGTGTATACAAATGTAAGTTTTTAGCCATAAAAAATTTTATTTATTACCGTAACTTTAAAAATGAGAGAGTAGTGTAAAGCCCAGAAATGCAGTTTTTTGCATGTTAATGACATATTTATACTTAATACTTGAACGGCCCGTCCTCACTAGTTGTTCAGGCCCCAGCATAATCACCATTTTTCGGGGATTTGCTGGTTAAGCCATTGTGGTTCCTTGGAATCCCGAGGACAGCCTGATCAGTCTGTTCCAGGTCGTCACCGCGACAGGCATTCGCAGCCCTTGTGGATCGGAGGGAGATTTGACACCATGCGACTTTGATACTAAGACGGTGGTGGATCCTGGTATTGGTTCACTCTTAGCTAGATGGAAACGCCGCACTCCTTCTCAGCTTGGGAGACCCTGCCGGGGGACGAATCCCGCCACTGTACATTGCAATCCGACACCCAGGAACATGTACAAGCCGCAATGAGGCGATAAACCGTTGGGAGGAATGACGTATTTATATATTCATTTATTCAACAGATTTATGTTTCTGACGTGTTACGTTTTTTAACGGATCAGGTGGGAATTCGGACGAAATAAAAGTATAGGACATGTCAAAGGAAATGATTGGCCCAAAATGGGAACAATTTTGTAACCCAGTGTTATTGACTTTTCTGGCTCACCCATTCATGCATGATCAGCAAACGACTCATCGGTTTCACTAGGCTTTTATCCCTCCCACATCGGCTTATCTTTTGAACTCGTGGAAATGTTTCGTTCAGATTCAAGCGACGGACAAATCTCTAGCGGATACGAAGGAGCGTGCTCAAAAACTCATTGAAGAGGAAAAAAATCGTGGTATAAAGGACGTGACTAAGTGAGTTCTTAAGCGACGACGTCTCCGTATATTAGCTGTATTCATTCCGGTTTTTTAGACATCGTCAAAAAGCTAGTATCTTTAAAACGGGTGCAACAGGTGTTGGATCAGCTTCATCTTCACGAAATGCTTCTCCTTTGTTGACACGGGCTCTTGACAGTTCTTCATCTCGTATCAGCCCGAATAAGGTAGTCATTAATCCGGTTTCTCTCCTTCTCATGGCTAGCGAAATAGCAATTACTTTTATTGAATTGTTTCAGTTTGCAAATCCTGCGGTTAGCAATAACAATAGTTCTCAGCAAAATAACGGTAAGTTATCGTTCTTTTTATTAGTTTAAGGCGACCAGATTGCACATTTGCTGTGTTTTCGTTATGATGAGCACTTGCTTACAGCTTTGTTCTAGACTCGAAAATTGTAATGTTTGAATAAGCAGAGAGAGAGGGGAGCGTTGGCAATTTAAGATAGTTAACTGTCAAAGGGTGCAAATGATGCTGAGATATTTGCAAAACTCCGGATCGCAGGTGTTACCTATAAAGGGTGGTAACCAGGTTCAATCTCCGCCACTGACACCTGCGTTCCGGATTTTCGCACATTTCGCATTATCACCGGTCTCTCAGCTAGTTCTATCTGTCAGGCCATCAGCAATCACCCATCAACGGGATTGATCTGGGGAGGCCAAATAATTTCACGGCAGGTTAATGTGTGTGACTCAACCACAATAATACTGAGATATTTGCAAAACTCCCGACCGCAGGTGTTTGCGATTATTGCGGTTGAGTCACACATAATAATCTTACTTACTTACTTGGATACTTGGACGATCCGTCTTCACGAGCTCATTATGTGACCGGCCCATCTATTTCGCTGTCGATGCATGATCTCCTGGATCTCGAAGATGTGACAGATTTCGAAGGTCAGAACCTCGCATTCCGGTGAGTAGTTCAAAGCATTCTTGACGTAGTTGAAGTATCAACCCACGTCTCTGCAGCATAACAGAGCGCTTGGAGGACCGTAGAATCGAGGAGATAAGCGCGGATTTTCGGGTTCTTTTGTTGGTCGGTGGCTTCTTTGAGAGGCCCGAATGCGACGCAAGCTGCTCTCTTTCTTCTATCTAGTTCCTTCTTCATGTTTTCCATGTTCATTGATCGCCCATGGTAAACGTACGAGGTGGTGTTTGCAATGAGAGAGCCATCCAATTCAATTTTTTCGCCTTCGCACCATGAGCCTTTCTTGAACCGGATCTTCTTTCGATTTATGCGAAGTCCGATCTTTTTCCCCGCTTCATTGAGCTCGTTGACCATCACCTCTGCTTCGCTAGTGCTTCTTGAGAAGATAGCAAAATGAAGATTTGATAGGAATTTTTCATCAATACATATGCCTTTCTCATCTCAATCGAGTGACTTCGTTATCCACTACAGTACGGCACTGAATAGCTTTGGCGATATTGTGTCCCCCTGTAGAACCCTTTTCCTATGGGTATGGTAAGAGATCGTTGGAAAAGCTATATTTTCGTAGTGCAGTTACGATAACAGTCGGACGAAGTTCTTATGTAGGACGGGTCCACCCCTTGGTCAACGAATACTTATGGGATTGCATTCGCTTCGACACCGTAAAACGCTTTTTCATAGTCGAGAAAGATTAGGACTAGAGGCAAGCGGTATTCCCGACAAACTTCGATGACCCTGGACATGGTTTGGATGTGATCCATGCAGCAAAATCCTTTTCGAAATCCTGCTTGCTCGACTAGTTGCGCCTCATCCAATCTCGATATTTGGGAGAGGATACTTCATGAAGAGCTTGTAGAGTACACTCAACAAGCATATGGGACGATAGTTACGAAAATGTTTTCGGTCTCCTTTCTTGGGCAGCACGACCATGCGCGACGACCACTGGTCTGGGATTTCTTCCTTTTGAAAGTAGCCTGTCATATGATTTGCGAGAAGTATATGTAAATCGTGCTCTCCAGCTCGCGGTGACATGTCCGATCCTGGAGCTGTGCCTCTTTTCATGCTTTCTATCGCAACTCGAACCTCCGACGGAAGAATTCCAGGTGGTTTTTCCCCAGTGGGAATATTAGGGTCCGGGACGGAGATTGTGGGACGGAAAGGTTAGTGTAGAACGTCTCCGCTATTAATTCCATATCATAGCGGGAGGTTTTGACGATCCCATCTTCTTTCATCAGGGCTGACAGCGGGACATTATAATCACGCAAATCCCGACGGCATTTTTTCAGACTGCTTCTTTTCTCTACTGCTTCCAGTAGTTTCTTCTGCTTGTACCGTTGTAGATCTTCCTGAAAAGCTCTTCTGCAGCTAGCATTTATTACTGGCCATGTTAAACGTGCTGCAGTAGGATCAAGCTTCAGTTTCCTTTTCTTTTCGAACAACTCCTTAGTAGTGATGGAGATGCGATCCGATCTTCTTGCTTGAGGAACTGAGGTGAGTTCGGTACAGCTTTTCAGTCCTTCGACAAGCAGCTCGTGATCTTCGGTCGGGTCTTCTTTAATCTGCCATTCACGTTTGTATAGGACTTTGTTCAGAATATTTTCGTCGTATACAGCTAGACTTTTTCCTCGTTGTCGATGAAGGGAGTTCTTTTCTATGTTGCGGCTGAATCGAATCGTGGTGTGAAGAAGGCGGTGGTCGGAACCAGTACAGAATGACGGGACTACCGGTGTGTCAAGTAGGCACCACCTTCTGTTTGTCAGAATGTGGTCGATCTCCGCATGAATTATGCCGTTGGGAGACTCCCACGTCCAGCAGCGACTTTCTTCTGGAAGAACGAGTTTCCATCTAAGAAACGTGCTGGTGGCAGGAGTCCTGCGAGACGGCTCCCATTCTCATTTCTTTGCCCTAATCCAAAATTTCCGTATTCGCTCTCGTTATCCTTTCCTATTCTGTCGTTATGTCGTTAAGTCTCCAACAACAAATTTATGATATGCTTTATCATTGCTGATGACTTTCTCCACCTGATAGTAGAACGCATTTAATTTGTACTCATCAGCTGCGTCGGTCGGTGAGTAGCAGTTGATTATAGTGATCTTCTTATGATGCGACAGTTGAAGACAGAGGACGGCTATGCGAGGGGAAAGGATCACGTGTGAATCGACGAGATGGACAATGGACGGGTGGGCGACAAAGCGTACACCACCGATATTTCGTGACGGGACCTTTTCTCCACGGATCACAAGGGTTCCGTTGTTTAGTTGGCGTATGTCGATCTTCCTGATTTTTGTTTCTTGTAATGCGGCCACATGAAATTTAATCCTGTCTGCGGCTGCAAGAAGGGCGTGAAGGTCGGCGTCTGTGGAGAGTGTTCTGGTATTATATGCGCATAGTAAAAAACAATCTTACAATCTTGTTTCTTACATAATAACCTACCGTGACAAATTGTAATAGACAGTAAATAAAAAGATAGCATTGTCTCAGCATCATTGTAGTTGTATTTTACATCATACCCTGCCTTGAAAAAAGATCAGCTGGTTAGTAAAAAGTGATCACATCGTGTCTGCAATGTTGTACGTTCGCGAAGAAGGCAAATTTTGTACAGTCGTAGTATAACCCATATTTTTCTGCTGCACGCACTGCGATTTATAATCAATTCGTACTGGCCACATTGCCACATCGGAGTTGAAAATATGTAATGTTCTCATCGATGTGTTGAAGTGTGTGTAGAGGCACACTGATGAGCTCGCACTATATGTACACTAGCAACCATCTGGCCACCTGACGAACAAATCCGAACAAAAACGGTTTTTTTGTAAATCGTAAATTGTAAAAATTGAAAATCACAATGGTTTTACCCTTTTTTTTGCTGGCTATTCTTCTTTCATGGCATGGTATAATGTGAAATACAACAAGGTTGTCGAGATATGAGCAAAACTTGGTGGCGTAGTTGGCATTCATCCTTCCAGCAGGGTCTCCCGAGCTGAGAAGGAGCCCGACGTTCCCACCAGAAAGCTCCGCTAAGAATAAACCAGTACCAGGATTCGCCACCGTCCTTTTACCACACTAGTCGCGTGGTGGCAAATCTCCCTCTGATCCATATGGACAGCGACTGCCTGTGGTGGTGACGACCAGGGGCAGACTTTGGCTAGGCTGACCTCAGGACTGCAGGTAACCACATTGGCTAAACCAGCAAAGCTCCGGAAAACATGGAAACTATGCTGAAGTCCACACAACCAGTGAAGACGGGCCATCCAAGTATCCGAATAAGTAAGTAAGGTATGATATGAAATATAACAACAAGGATTACGAGTAGAGCAAAACGTGGTACCGTACATGGGGCTTCGAACCCGCGGTTACACTTACCGGGACTCACGTGCTATCCACCCCACCGGCCGAAGCCGTTTTTCGACAGCAGCTTCAAATGAGCTGGGTTCAATGCCGATTTGTACTTCTCAGATCATTGCTGTTGACAAGTGATTGCTGATATTACCGATAGAGGAAAACATGGCTAAGAGAAGGCAAAGCAAGAGCCTCAGTTGGTGTGGTGGATAACACTTGAGGCTCCGGTAAGGGTAATCGCAGTTTGGAAGCCCAACTAATGTTGCGAGTTTTGTTCATATCTCAGCATCTTTGTGGTTGTTCAAAATGGGTTTTGTCTTCCGAAGCTTGATGTCACATGTGGTCGATGTTATCTACCGAATGGATGCAAAAAACTCTCTGGCAATGTTAACTACCGAAGACAATGTTAGTAGAGATATATTTAACGTTTAATTTCTGGCGTCGCCTCTATAGGAGTCATGCGATAAGAAAGCCATGGCCGCTTGTTTTAAACTATCATATTTCGACCAGTGGTGGAGTTTATTGGTTTCGTTGGTTTTAACGAGGTTGAATATGTTAATTAAAATCAGTGTGCTTGTTGAATTTTGTGCAAAAGGCGATAGTGTGCTTAGCATTTTACCTTTCAGTCACCAGCTCTAATTTTTGAATTATTCTTCATTTAGGGTCGTCTAGTATGTCACGTGCGACGCCAACACAACATCTTAACAGCGAGTTACGTAAAAAGAAGCTACGTCAACGAATTATTCAACTTGTTGTGTTAGGGAAGTTTTCTGGTGCTGATTTGGTTCGTTCATTTTTTAACGATAGCCGTAATATAGCATGGCTTGTAGCTTATGGTGATAATGTTAGGTTCTGCGACAATTGCGTAAAGATGGACTGAACGAAGAAGCAGATATTGAACGTCGTGTGGAAGACATTGTGGGAGAAGTTTCTGAACCATCTGGAAGCGGCTCTTCAAAAATTACTCTGAAGCCGTCACTTTATGCTGAGGTTTGGATTGTGGTGGTTTTTTGTTAGTTATCAAGAACGCTTAAAAAAACTGTTAGCAGAAATGTCTTGTTAACACAGAACAATCATGGTTTCTTCAAGAATCTGTTAGTTTTGGAATCTGTTTATTTAATAGGAACCACAATTCAATGACATGGTTATGTAGGCGAAATAGCTGTATTTTCAAATATGTAGTGTTAAGTTTTCATTAAGTGACATTTTCGTAACTATTGTCTGCGTATGTAACGACTAACATGCTGCTCGTTTTAGGTGGACACTCGGTGGCTGTGGTATAACCAGGAGGAAAAGGCTTATGTTCGCCGTGTGACTCAAGGTTTATCATCTACTCAAACGAAAAGCACCACGTTTGCGCCGACGAGAAAAAGTGGGATAGAACGGATGCAAGCACCAAGTCATTCATCCAATTCCTATTCATCGACTTCGGGTAACACAGTTAGCCCTGAAGGTAAACGGTAATGGGTCACTACTTTTATTTGTGATATCCTTAATTTTTCACTTCTGCAGCCATCCCAACACCTCCCAACTCTCGTCCTGCATCTGCAGTTTCGGGTCATTTGCACAAAACTTCGAAACATGTAAATGCAGTCCCGAACGGCTGTCGAGAGCAAACTCCTAAGTTGGTTATTTTATAATATATATTGTAGATCGATTCAAATATCTTTTACTCCTTATTTGTTCGTTGTAGTGTTTTTGGATTTAATCAAATTTGTTCAGATTATCTACTTATATTTTAACGTGTTTACTATGGTTCTTCTGTATTTCAGTACATATCGAAGTCCTCACCATGAAGTATCATCTGCCAGTAAACGAAAGGCACACGTTCCTGCTGGAGCACAGCAACAGCCAAATGAGACAAAGCGTCCGCGCCAGGAAAGTGCAAGCCCGCCGGAGGATCCCACCAGTCACCCACAACACAACCATGTTTGTATTTTTAAGATTTATTTAACTGTGGCAAACTGCGAGCTTAAACGTGCTGCAATATCTTCTTATTACAACTGAAGGTTTCTATTTTCCTAAGTTCATATTACGAATTTTATTAATTGATTTCTGACGATGTGAAATATGTATGATGCATGCTGCGCATGGCGAAAAACTAGGTGTAATTGTGATTGTTCTGCACAGTATTTTTGGTTTTCTATGTGAAACCACGTCCTAAATTTACACGCAGAATCCTTAATACATGAATACTTGCTATCTTGTCTAGAGATTATTCCCGGCTGGGCTTGTGTAGCGCAGTGGTCAGAGGCGCCGTGCAATACACCTTGATCGGTCCTCGCGACAAAGGCTCACCAAACCCTCCATCTTGCCGAATTGGTGCCAAATTTGTCTGGAAAGATAGGAGTATTGGTTCAACACATCGGTAGACCACCACGAGTCATTGTAAAGCCGAGATATGCACTCAGTCATCCCAGCGATGCTGAATGAAGTCGAATGCTTGGCGCGTTCCTCACGGATTCATCAGTGCCGAGAGCTTTATCCTTTTTATTACCAGCTTAACTCCACATGTTACAGTGAATTCCCATTTGTTTATATTGTGACGCTAACTTTTGTTTTTCCAATGCTTTTTGAATTAAATTGAGCTAGACCGATGGTTTCCTTACCACAGGCTTTACATCACACGCGCTCAATGAAGTTGTGTTCTTACATAGTAACACTTCCAAGCCGAGATTAGAGATATTGTACTTCGCAAACCTTGAGAAGAGTAAGATACCTTTGCTTGAATAGGTATCTTTGACCGTTTACACCCTGTTAATCCCCACGCTAGAATTTTCGAAAAGTAAGCTTGTTCGTAAATATGGTTGTGTTGTGGTCGCAATATTTACATGCTGTGTAGAATTCACTATTTTGCTTTTCTTGAGAGCAACTTTTAACAGTTTGAGAAAACAGCATCCGGTATTAACTCTATAATTTTGCAGAAGATGGTGGCTCGCTCAGGTGGCAGTACTGCTTCTTCTCGTCTTAGTTCACCTTGCAGTTTGTCATCACCTACCCAGCCATCGTGTGACTGGGATAAAAGCTATGGCGAGGTTCGCTGTCTTGGTATTTTTCAAAATTATATAACTAAACCAGGGGCGTGTGTGGCGCAGTAGTCGGAGGCGCCCTGCAACACATCCGTGGAATCTATCCCCGTGCCCATGACCCACCACGCCTTCCATCCCTCCGGGGTCGGGAAATTGAGACTTGTCTGGGAGGATAGCAGCACTGGCTCGATAGATCGGTAAGCCATCGCGAGTCATTGTAAATTCCATATATGCATTCATTCACCTCCAAGCGATGAATGCACCTAGTGAAGAAGTAGAATGCATTGCGCATCCCTCAGGGATTGATCAACGGCGAGAGCTCTATCATTCTTTTTTATTAGTTATTTAACTAGTTGTTCAAACAACAATCTAAGACGATTCGTTCTTTAGATAAAGACTGTTCATGAGGCGGAGAAATATTTCTCATTGTTCCAACAGGACTATCCTGAGTATTTGGAATGCTACAAGATTTTGAATGAAGTGATTTTGCACGATCGTTCTCCGTTCTATTTTCTAGCCTCTTTCATCTGTTGTACAAATGTATTTTAGGTTGCTAAAGAATTTCGTCAACTCGAGGTGCAACTGAAGAATGCGGTTGATAATCGCAAGGATTTTGCCAGGGTGAGTCTTATTTTGCCTTTTGTACAGTCCGGAATCATCTTTATTACATGTCCTTCCATCGATCTTTGAGTTGCTGGAGTGGGTACTAAGAAAGTCTTTAGCTCTTGTTGCGTGGTAGGGTTATCCGGTGAACTCAAGGATTCGAAAAATGCTGTATTTTTTTTCTAGAATATTCGTTAAGTCTCATAATGGTGCTTCTGGTCTTTCTGTTGTTCAGTTGAAATTCAGTGGGTCTCGAACGCTAACAGTTCTTTCCAACCATTTGTATTGAAATATGCTTCAAATGTTTAGCCCACATGGTTTAAAAGGTCATTAATATAATACGTAACTTTCATTTTTGATTGTTTTTGCAGTCAGAATCCTGGCCCCACTCATGTTATGCGAAGTGCTTCTGTGATAGTACTGTCAGAAACATTTTCAATATCGTTGACCGGAAAAAATTAGAACCAAAACGATGTGTATGGATCGGTTTTTTTGTCTTCGTCACCTTCACCATCCTCGATGTTTTCGCAGTCTTTGAAAATCTTTCGTTCTCTTAGTTGTAATCATGTTGACTTCCCGACACAGATAGACCAACTGGAAACATCCAAAGATATTTGTTCATTGAACTTGAATGAGACAAACGTTGGCAGATGCGTTTCCCATCAGCACCAATTTCTTCAAAAGGCTGTTTAACCAGGAACCTCTCTTTCCGCACAGTTTTTTTCTCGAAGTGGACCAGAATTCATTTCCCCTGGTTAATCTTCGATTTTATATCACCAGTCGTTTTCTTGATCGCCGAGTGATTCTAATGCGCACCAGCAAATCTTCCATTTCACCGTCTCGCGTGCAAAACGAACACAGTGGGTTCTGCTCGCTCTAGTGTCTCGTTGAGCATCTTTTTCTTCTACGGTTTTCGTGAAGAACTCTGACCATCGAGTTAGCGGTCTTCCTGCTGTGCGTTTAACATTCCAAGGAATCCAGTCGCAAACGTCTGTTATCCATCGGTTGTTGTTCTGACGTATTAAGTTTACGATCAGCCTTATCTTCAAAAGTTGACGTGTAGAACGACGTCTTTGACTTTTGATCGTTGACATAGGTTGACTTCATGAAATCGGTATTATCAGCAAATTCATAGCTGCTGGCCATTGATCCTTTACTGACACGTTGCTATCGATTTTTTTCCCATAGCGTTGTAAAGCGTAATATTTTTTGATATTGTCTCATTTTGTTGGATTTCTATGTTTATGTTGGTGGTGATTACACCGTAGAATAATAAAATTCAGATGAAGATGCTGTATATTTCATGAAAGATCTTGTTGAACAGAGGCATCTTTGTTTAGAACTTCCATCATCATTTCAATTTTAACTTGCTTAAAGACTTTTTCTATGCCGATGAAAGTACAGAGCTACATCTTATTATCATGCAGATACGATCCAAAGCGGTGTTTCTTTGTTTTCCAGTCATATTGACACCAGGAAAGCAGGCAATTTTGACGACAGTTGCCGATAACACGTAGCTGTTCCTCATAGGATGATCTCGAGCATATGTAGTGGGTCCGTCTTAAGATGGCGGATAACAGCCCGACCGGGGAATAAAGATTAGCCTGCACTTGTTTCGAAATGTAGACAGATTCAGCGGATGGATCATCCATTTTGACGAATCGGACGACATATCTTTGCATTTCGAGTCCCAGAAAATCAACCTGCTTCGTTGTCTTCTAGTTTGTCATCCATCTTTTGGAGTTTTCCTCTCAACGTAGTTCTGGTTTTTATTTCCCTTGGAATCTACTCGAATATGTTGTTCATTCAATGTTCATTCAACGTTATTTTCTACTTATATAACGGTTGTGCACTTACGGATTTTGCACTACATATCGATTCGGCCTCAACCTCCAATCAAGTTACTGGTAAGTTCACGTGCGGTGGTGGTTCGGAGTCGTCTTCAACAAATAAGAGACAGGCGCGGAAAGCTACCCATAGAAGTAGCTAACTTATATAAGAAACAGCAAACTAGACATAGGCATTTCTCATCAATAAAAACAGGAAAAAATGACGGCAATCGTATGCCTTGTAGAGATATTCTTTATTTCTATAACACGATGTGTTGCCGATATTGGTCAATGTTATGCAATTACGCCATAATTCTGACAACTTGATACTTGGACGGCTCGTCCTAACTAGTTGTGCGGGCCCCAGCATAATCACTATTTTCCGGAGATTTGCTGCTTAAGCCACTGTGGTTCCCTGGAATCCCGAGGACACCCTGGCCAAAGTCTGTCCCAGGTCTTCACTACCACAGGCATTCGCAGCCCTTGTGGATCAGAGGGAGATTTGCCACTATGCGATTTTGGTACCAGGACGGTGGTGGATCCTGGTATTGGTTTACTTTTAGCTAGGCTTCCTGATCGAAACACCCGGATTCCTTCTCAGCTTGGGAGACTGCTGGGGGGACCAATCCCCCCGCTGTGCATCGCAGTCCGGCACCCAGGAACACCTCCCAGCCACGGTGAGGAGGTAAATTGTTAGGAGGAATTCTGACAAAGTAGTCGAAAATAGTCGAAGTCGCCGAAACGTCAGCCATTGAACAAAGGCAACAACAATAGTAAGAACGTCTATACCTACGTCGCGTTGGCCTAACCTGGTTGGCTTCGTTGTCAAAGTAGTTTTTCAGTATTGTGGTGTATAATGGTCGGAAACGCCCTACAATGCGCTTGGAATCGATCGCCGAACCCTATCCCCCACCCCCACTACCCACCCACCAAGCCCTCCATCTCTCCGAGCTCTGCAATTTGGTACCAGACTTGTCTGGGAGAATAGCAGCATTAGCTCGATAGATCGGTAGGCCACCACCGAGAGTGATTGTTAAGGTTAGACATGCGTTCAGTCACCTCCAACGATGCTTAATGAAGTCAAACGCATGGCGTATCTCTCGTGGATTGATCAACGCCGAGAGCTTTATCTTTCATTTTATGGTGTATTCCAACTTTTAAGCCTTAATTATTCCATTTTCCTAAACATTTGTTGCACTCCATCTTGTACCGTACAATGACAGAGCAATTAGATTCAATTCCAGCTTTTGTCAGTTATTTTTTGTGATTTCAGATAGAGCACAATATACAAGTACGTTTCGCTCATTTCGAAAAGGATCCCGAATTTATAAAGGTATGTTATGTTTCACTAACGATTTTTGATATCCCCAATTTGTTTTCGAGCATTTTCACGAAGTGTCCGTCTCTTCCCTATTTTTTAGTATTTGTATGGGATTTAAAAATAATATTTTCTAAATGTCATTAGTGGAGATGCTTCGTATAATGTAAAACGAATGCTACGAGGAGTTGTAGACACATTTGGACCGAAACTACATCAGCCAACAAGTTGTCCTACTATGTTTGGTGGTTTTTTAATCTCCATAAGAAGTTCGCTAGCTTATAATAATGTAGCAGCATTCTACCATTTGCTGAATGTCATATAAGAATTCTGCGATTAGCTGAATGTAATGAGATGTGGCTTGTTTAGTGTCGTATCTGTCATTCTATGCATACACAACATGTGATCTTCGATAGTAATTTATCCTATTTCTTTCGTTGTTGAAGGTTTTCGAAGAACACATGCTGTGCTCAGTTAGTCATTGACGGAGTGAATAGCTTAAGTGAACAGTAATTTTGAAACTGACCGTCATTTAACCTCGATAGTGAAATTATCAACATGCGTTTAAATTGTTGAGCTTACACGAGGTTGGGGAAGTTGTTTATTCGGCTAACGTTTCGACGTATTCGTCTTCATCAGAGCCGAGATGATCCGAGTCGATGGTCCACACTTGTTGGAATAAACGACTCTGTCAACCTCGTCTAAGTTCAACAATTTAAGCACATGTAAACTCAACAGTTATCACCTGTTGTAACTAGGCAATATCTTCTTATGCTTTAGGACACTTTCATTGATTTGTTTAGCAGTAATAGAACCGTTCACTGTGGTCAGTCATGGCACATATTGTACGAAGTTTTAAATTTTCGGTAGGATCTGGATGTCAGTGCAATCGGAATTCTTGATTGGACTTCTACCTACTAAACGTCGTCGTTGTGGACAAACTATTTCCGGCAACTTTCTAACAAATTACACTTCAGTTACATTTGTTATATAAGGCAAATAATGCGATAATAATGACCATTCTGAACATCAAACTAACATATCTTAGATCTTATTAAACTTTACTAGGTTTATTTCTCAAATCGACTCTGTTTTGATCTGAGCTTTAATAATCAGCATTTTTTGGATGATAAGGCTAACACTAACACGAGGTTGCGATAAAACATTTATTCGGCTAACCTCTCGGCACTTTTGCGCTTGTACGAAGCCGTGTTGATTCAAGTCGATTGTGCTCAGCCTGTCGTTGTCGCAATGTGGGTTTTAGTTATAGCACCGGGTCGAATCGTCTGCAGTGGAACACCGCATGAATGAAGTTTTCCTACTAGTTTAGTCGTTAAGGAAAATACTGATTAATCTTTCCGAACATCAAAGAAAGTCGGTATTAGAAATACTGCTATGCTATGTGCCAGCTAAGTTAACACTGCAGCATGAATTCCCACCATAAAATCAGATCAGCGGATCTTACTGGGCGGCAATAGGTCAGTAACCGCCCTGCATGAAAAGTTCTCCCCGATTGTTACACATCGTTGTAGCAGTGGTCCACTCCAAACGGTTCGATTCGGTGCGGCAGCGAACTAGATATTTCACTTAGCGTTCCCCAAGCTCTAAAGGAGTTCAACATTTCCATCCGGAAGTTCACCTAGGAATAAACCAATATCAGGAATCGTCGCCATCCTGGTATGAAAGTAGTTGTAACGTGGGAAATCTTACTCGGATTCGCAAATACTGGCGACGACCTGAAGCTTTGTTGATCGCGAGACTTTAGGGGTCCAGAATTGCTCAACCAGCAAAAACCCATGCGCTGTACCTTGCAGTTTGGGTGCTACGTCCCGCAATGTGGGGCGGTACGTAGACTAGTAAGAGTCGGTCAAATTTTTCGTTGTCAAGAATTAATAACATGAAATTTGAATCTCTTCTTTCTTTTGTGGCTTAAGTGTGTAGTTTTGTGTATTTTTTCTGAATTTTCATGTTATTTTTCCGAGTGCAGTCCAGATAAGCAAATTCATTATTCCAGAATAAATTCGTTTTATTCGTTACGAGCTTCTTTTAGTTCGAATATCGTAGTCGTGGTGATTCTATACTGAATCTCTTGAGTATTCATAACTTCAATGAGATAAAGCAAAGCGTCCTAAAACAGCGTTAAAAAATGCTTAATATGTTTTTCAGACTCGACAGCGATATACTGATTTGCATTCGAAGTTGGCTGTGCTTAAGTCACGTATATCGGATTTCGAACGAAATCAGGATATGGCAGTCAGTGCATCAACTGCTATGCCGATGGACCTTTGTGATCTGGAATGATAACCAGATTTTCTCTTGCTTACTTTAATCCATTTTTTTACCTTCGAAAATGCCAAAAGAATTTGTGTACAATGCTCAGTCTTTTGTCGACTTTTTTATCGACCTCGCTTCTCTTCTACTACTGTCATAGATCGTCCTTTATCGTTCAAATTCCAATTATTTCTCTTAAAACTTACCATTTCATGGCTCAACGCTTTTACTACGGGCTCCCAATCAGTTCAACGGTATATTTTTTTTTAAAAAAAAAACTTTTGCTTATAGCCCTACCTAGCTGAAATGTATCGTTTCTTCCCGGTTTTCCTGACATCTTCTTTTACTTTGGGTAGTTAAGTAGTACTGTAGTGTCCCTTTTTTGTATATTTTGCTTCTGGTAGTTGACTGTTACGGGTGCCCTTACCGTGTATTTCTTGGGAAAATTCCAAAAAAAAAATCCCTCTATTCACTCTCACATGGTGATTAATGTCTTTTACTATTATATCATTTTAGCGTATCTTTTCTACTTCTTTTGTAAGCATTCCTCACCCGGCAGTTCATACGGCTATTGGGAAATGTAGTAGCACTCAGATAGGGTACATAGTAGCACTGGACAATCAAACATAGACGTATACCTGTTAGCAAACGCGTTCTATCCGTCCCAGTTTGACCGGGTTCACCAACACTTTACCGTTGTAGTAAGTAGCATGGTGTTTCAGTTGACTAGATACATATTTTTTTTAGTTCGCTTCTTGGTTTGTAGGCGCCTATTCGTCATTTTGACTGTGTGCCATTCGTTTTTTTTTGCTACGTTTCTATATGATGGCTGTTGTTTTAGTCTGTCTTCTGGTTCTTTTTCTCTTGTCGCCTTATCCGGTACATAATAAACCATGTTGGACCACCTAGCGCCGTTTTATGACTAATCCTCAAATCAACGGAAAAGCATGAAACTTCACTTTCTAGCTGATAGATGCTGTTGAAGTATTAGACGATCTTGTACCTCGTGTTATTCTAGAAGTGGGAAAGATGATGTCAAAGATCTTTATGTATTGGCCTTGTTCAAAAAGGTGTAATGTCCAGGCAAGATAGAAGGAAGACATGGTGAGGTTGCTCGTTTGTGTGATATTTCCTCTTATGCGGGTCTCTTCGATTGCCATCGTGACAACCAGATCTCAAACTTGAGCAATTGAACCGTTTGTATAACAGTAACAACGAAATGATGATAATGAGACCATGATGTAAAGATATAAGCAGTGATGTGACCGTTAGACAAAGGTAGTATAGCGACGATGCCTACGGATTTGATTGAGGACTATAAGTAGACACACAGAATACAATAGTAAAGAAGAAAAGGTATCACCTGTATCATCCGTAGTCCCGTTGATCGTTGAGTGACTCGAGCGGGCGCCAGTGAATCTTCCATTTTTCCCTGCCGCGTGCAAGAGTAGCTCAGTGGGTTCTGCTCGCTCTAGGGACTCGTCGAGCAAGTAGACACACAGAATACAATAGTAAAGAAGAGAATGTATATGTGTAGAAAACAAATGGTGTGCTAAGTCGAGATAAGGAGGTGCAAAAAATCCTATGGAATAGGTGCGTTCCATGAAGTGCAACTTGTGACCGACTGATTTATGCTAGGATCAGAACAATGGTAGTAACGTAATCAATGAGAAAAAAAATAAAGAACGCAGTGCTAAATAAAGATCCAATGAATAGAATGTGTAGGTGAATCACCGATTGGTAAGCTGTAGGTTATGGAGATACTTTCCATTGTTTTGATTTCAGAAGGTAATAATTGGTCGAATTTGTGGACAAATCGGCATCGGTTAGTTTACCCCAGTGGACCTTAGTCGAAAATTATTTGGTAGTTGTAGTTGGTAGTTCTTTCCTTACTTCAGATTCACTGTCTCCGTTTTCTCCACAGGACCGAGATTTCCCCAGGCTCTAGTGGTGCAAATAGGCTTATGGGCCCGTATTTCGCCTTGTGAGGAAAGACTAATAATTGCTTCGCGTGGATTTTCTTGTGAATATGATAGGAGTTCATGCTATATTCTTCTTGTACTCCTCCATCACGGTTGCGATAGTACTTTGGGATGTCCATAATAGCGCTTTCTATCAATTCATTATTAATTTTTGCAGACATTTCATCCAAATATGTGTAAAATTTCGGTTCTGTCTCCTCAAAACAGACCGATGAGACCTGTCTAGCCCTTCTACGTTCTGTTCTCGTTTCAACAGAATACAAGATTGATGACGTAGGTGAACTTTGATTGCGTTAGTCCTCGAATTCGTAGGTAGGTTTTCGTCCATGGCTTCTATGAAATCAGGTATATCCTCTTCTATGACAAGACTTAGCGGACTGTGACTAATGGGACTGCAGTCATCAGCAACCATATCGTTTTCGAGGTCCAAAAGATCAAGTTCTTCCACATGAAAACTCTCTTCTTCATTATTACTGGACCAATTCAGCTCTGTACTCTCAAAAGATAAAAGCTTCGTCGATTCAGCGTTAAGTTCATCAATATCATCTGGTACCGTAGAAGTATTTAATACTGCCGGATCATCTCTTCCCATGGGCCACGGTTGATGCCTTGAGCTTTTCCCCAATAGTTGGGGTGAAAGACTCTTGGCTCTTCTGAACGAGATTACGGCAAAGACAGTGCAAGAAAGTGTTTGAAATCGGTTAGTATTTTGCCAAGCACAGAGGTGTGTTGAGCGTTGCCATTTTCATCGCTGTTGTGACCATCGTGTTGATGACTCCGAAACTTCTGGGCAGAACCTTCCGTGGAAATATTTACGATGTCTGGCTGGTTCGTTTTGAGAGAATGGAGTGCGCTTGGCGAATAACTGCGGAAAATGGCCGTAAAGTGCATAGGGTGAACGTCCACGGCAGAAGGATGGTAAAGATTCTGATGAGACAGTGAATATTTATACTGGTAACCATTTCAGGTTTCCGAGTTACGGGCAGTATTTCAGTAACGCCGCTTTCATCATTATTCTTTGGAATAATCTGAGGTCGCGTGACCTGTGGTACAGTTGGTTCTCCACTATACTAGAGTCACGTTTTGGGAACACAGTCATTACCTCTCTCGATAACGACGAAATCTTGAGCCGATTTTGGTTCTTCAGGTGGAGGGCTAGCACCAATGTTGAGTTGAATATCATTAGCGTATACAAATGTGACAGGACTTGAATTGAGATTAGTGACACTTTTCTCCTAGCAGAGTCCGCATCAGAAGGTGACCGAATATCAACAACGTGAATTTCAATATTTAAATCCTCAGAAAACTCGTCCATGTTAATTCGAAGATTACTTGAGAGCGTGGGTACCGCACCTACACAGCGAGCGTAGGCCACTTTTTGTGTCATTTCTCGGCGTTGCTAGCACATCTCGCTGCAACTAATGTACACTTTCATGATGATATTCCAGTTTCTCTGAATAGCGCGAGTTACGACGAAGCCATCGTCCAACCTTTATGAATTCTCGTTGGTACTGGAATGCTTCGTATTTTCTGTGAATTGTTTGCGTGAGCCTCAAAGGCCTTTATACGACTCTTGAGAGTTATAGCGTAATAGATGTTTCGTAGTCCACTTTTTCGTTTCCCATCTTTGCATCTAATTCAGAAAATTTTACGTCGTGCTCCTGTAGTACTTCGTTTAGCTTTTGGATGGCTGCTTCTATGGCCCCTACTGCTTCAAGCAGTCAATATAAGCCTTCGTGTACGAATGAAGGACTGTGTTACCTCTCTCTCTCTCAGTGGAGGAGATGCTGAGTGTTTTTTTGAGTGCTCATTTCTGAGACGCCTATTCCCTCCTCTTTGTGCTCCCCAGATCATTCCTGTTGACGGGTGATTGCTGATGGGACCGCAAAGTAGAAAACTGGCTGAGAGAAAGACTAAGCAAAGGGTTCAGTGGTGTAGCGGGTGAAACGTGAGTCCCCGGAAAGGGTAATCCAGGTTTGAATCTGGCCTGGGGTCCAAGCTTTGCCAATATTTCATCACCACTATAGTAACTATTCCTTGAAGTAACTCAGCTTAACTGGATTCGTTGCCGATTTGGACTGCCCAGATCAATCCCGCTGACGGGTGGTTGCTAATGGCAGAGATCGACGGAATTAACTGAGAGACAGGCGAAACGAAGGACCTGCGTGGTGTGATGGTGAACGCGTTACTTCCCAGAAAGGACAATAGAGCGTTCGTTCCCCACCGCGGAGACCTGCGCTCCGGAGTTTTGCAAATATCTCAGTATCATTAATGAGAGTTATATTCCCTAAAAAATTCCTGTTTTTATATTGTCTTATATCTTCTATATTAATTGTTTCCTTGTAATCATCATACATCTATTCTTGCACATTCCACAGATCGTTTCTTTGTGATCATCTCATGCACTTGCCACGAAACTGGGTGGGGAGCGAATCTGTAGCTTCTCTGTATAATGCGCTCTTCGTTGTCCGATAGTTTGGGCACTGAATGAGTAGCTATCAGCTACATGTACTTTCCAGCATCTACCGTTTCCAAATGCACTTTCAGTAAAAGCCTTTGTAAAAGCTATTTCATGGCTTTCACGTGAACTTTTTGTATAGGCTTTTGTGTCGCTTTTCAGATGAACTTTCCGCTTCCACATGTACTTTCTGTATATTGCATACTACATAGACTTCACGAACTTTCCGTGGATGTGGCTCTATAAGATTGTCCTAGCTGAGAAACTCTTAGAACCTCTCTCTGAGCACTGTCTCTAGTTCCCTCTATAAAGACCCCACTCATACCAGAAGGAATATAAGGAGCATTATTCCGGTACCGTGTGTGTGTCTGTATTCCCAATCCCTCAGCATCCGCGCATCCCAGTGCTCTCGTGCCTCGCTCAAGTGCTTGGCATGTATTCGTTCACCTAACAAGATATCGTCATATTGTTATTATTGTATTGTTATTATTGCTATAAACTGTTTTAGCCCAAACTCGAGGTCGTTCACGGCACTACGAAAAAATTCCAGCGTGACGAGGTCATGCAAAGTCGAGCAATCCACCTGCAGTTGGTGGACAAGGGATAAATCCAACCAACTACTATATATTCCGCTGGCCAACTAGCACAATCACTCTGGTTGTATTTCACATCATACCCTGCCATGAAAAAATAATAGGCAGTAAATAAAAAGTTAAACATTATGATTATTCCATACCCATTCATTGCAATTGTATGTCAGACCCATACAGATGGCTGTGCTCGAAAGAAACAAGGAGTTGGTAGCTTCATTTTCACTGCCTTTAGAGACGAGATAGCCAAAGGTGGCTCAACAGGTCCTGTTGGATATAAATGTGAATTCACATTGGGAAACGCCCTACACCTAGCACACAAAAACAACACAACGAAACACCCACCAGCGATGTGGAAGAAGTAAGAGACTTATTGACTTAAAAAGAATTTATCGAGTGTGGCGCAGTGGTCAGAGGCGCCCCGGAACACACACTTGGGATCGATCCATGCGCCCATGGCCCACCAAGCCTTCCATCCTAGCGGGGTCGGTAAATTGGTGCTAGACTTGTCTGGAAGGATAGTAGCACTGGCTCGATACATTGGCCGGCCACTGCGAGTCATTGTAAAGGCCAGATATGCATTCAATCACCACCAACGATACTCAATGAAGTCGAATGCATGGCGCATCCCTCAGGGATTGAGCAACACCTAGAGCTTATTTTTTATCCTTTATAAGAAAAATTTGTGCTAACAATCAGCTGCGAAACAATGACATGATGTAGTTTTTACTAGGCACTTAAGGATGCAAGGGAGGAGAGGCCATAATATATTAGGTGGCGATAGCATGTGGAACAAGGTACGAGTAATATGGAAAACGCAAATAGTAATAAAGAAATCCCCAGGTTTTCACCACCACAGGCAGTTTCCACCCTTGTGGATCACAGAGATTTGCCACCATGCGACTAGTTTTAAACGAGCACTGTGGTGGATCCTGGTACTAGCTTAGTCTTCGCTGGGCTTCCTCATGGGGACGGTGGGCTCCTTCTCATCCACCCAGTTGGGTGGATGAATCCCTCACTGTACATCGTAGCCCGACATCCAGGAACAGCTCCCAGACACGGTGAGGTGGTAAACCATTGGGAGAAAAGGATATCTTAGACAAAATGGAATAATATTATTGAATCCGCGAAAATTGGGAACCCCATCCAAGATAGCCAATAAAACTTTATCAATTTCACGAACAAAATGATGGCATTTCGTCCACCAAGTGCGAGCTGTAACTGTATCGGGTTGTTAGGATGGAAGGTCATCTACGAATTCTACTCCAACCTGTTACTGATTCTCTATGATCACTGTTTATTTGTTCGCACAGGGAAAACCTTCTGAGAGAAATTTCCTTTGAGATCAGAACTAGGTCCTCTAGGTCAAATATGCTTATAAGAGTTGCTTGGTATGAAATGCCTGCACGTGCGCCAAAACGGGATTTTTTCTAGAAGAAAGCTCTATACGGGTAAAGAGAACAAGAAATTAAATTGTACTGTGAAACCCTGCTAACCGGTATCATCGTGACTACTGCGTGGTATTCGAAAGGTTATTCAAAACACATTTTGCACACCTGCATATATCCAACCCAATTTTTTGAGCTTTTTTAAAAATTGCAATGTTCTACTCCATTACAGCGTATTCTATCAACTTTGCTTCGTCGAACTGCCACTACTACATGTATTCCTTCACTAATAAGCTAACACGAGGTTTGAAACATCGTTGCTATTACTAATCGGTTCCCCACCGCAGACACTTCCAGCCCGGAATTTTACAAATATCTCAACATCACTGTGGTTATATTTCACATCGCTACTACATTTACCCCAAAAAGATGCACAACCGATGCCTAAACACAGATTGAAGGTGGTGTTCATCATTTTTTCTAAAAATAAAATCGCACTAAAGCAGCCAGAGTTGTAGTCACTAGCTACTGAACACCTATCCACTCTTTTGGAGTGCAGAAGACTATGAATAAAGAGTGAATTTGTGGTTGGATGGAGTTGGAGAATCAAGATTTTGTCAAATGATTAAGCTGACACAAGGCTGTTTTTAAACTTTACTCGGCTAACGTTTCTACGTCTTAGTCTTCTTCAGAGTAGGATTGACCCAAGTCGATTATCTACAGCTGATCATTCTCGTGATATGGATTTTCATCGTCGCATCACGTCAAATCTTCCGGAGACGAGCATCGATCGAATGAAGTATCCTCACTGGGTGGTACACTTTTGTATTGGTCGGTTATTCCGTTGATTGTCCGTTGACAGTGTCTTTAAAATGTTCCAAAATGTTGGCACACTTCCGCATTACCTTTTCAACCTTTAGCAGATGGAGTAAATCAATCCGGTGCACCATAGAAAGTGAGCAAAGCCTTTGGTCCTATCTACACATTACAGAATTCCTGTTTGATCAGTCTTTAGTTCCTATCCGCCGAATCGAGACCCAATACACTATTGCGGGTCAAACCAACCATATGTCTCGATCCGTGGATATGTTTGTAGCTGCAGCTTAGATTTTAACAAGAGACTGTGTGATACTCTCTATGGAAACCTACTACCTCTTCTTAATGCAGTAAACTGTATCTGTCCACATTTCCAGCAGAGACTCGCTACAAATCCTTTCACCGCCGACATTGCTTTTTCATACAGACTCATTCTCTCACTGTCCCCAAGACCTCCTGCAACCGTAATTGCAGCGTTTCATTCTGATCCATGTCTGGTTCATATAATGATATTCTCAATAGTAGTCAGATATAAAGTTATTTCTTTAACATCTTTATCATTTGATTATCGCACCATGTAACTCTTCCCCCAACAGGTTCCTGTAGCTCTATACGCTTCTTTTCCATTCTACATCGTTTCCGCTTTACCTGTATTATGCTCTGCTTTTCTTTAACATCTTTATCATTTGATTATCGCACCATGTAACTCTTCCCCCAACAGGTTCCTGTAGCTCTATACGCTTCTTTTCCATTCTACATCGTTTCCGCTTTACCTGTATTATGCTCTGGAGCAGTATCAACTTCACGTCCTACTTCAGCTTGTCACTTTATCTTATCGTTACTTGGATAGTCGAATGGCCCATTTTCAATGGTTGTGCGGGCCCCAGTATAATTTCCATTGTTTCGGAGTTTTTCTGGTTTAACCATTATAGTTCCCACGATTCCCAACGTCAGTCTAATCGAAGTCCGCCCCAGTTCATCATCACCACAAACAATCACCGCCCTTGTGGATCAGGAGATTTGCCACCATGCGACAAGTTTGATACCTAGACGGTGATAAATCCTGCTATTGGTATAAAATCGTTCAAAACCTCACTTATAGCGCATTAGTTCGCGGTTAAACCTTTTTATACGACTTGGCAACATAAACAGTAATAGGTTTAAGATCTTTTATATGAGGGAGATAACTAAGAAAGGAAATTACTCGATGTTCGAAATAATACGCTAATAGAACATCAAATAGGGCCGTCTATGATATAGCTACAACTATACTGAAATTCACCGTTTTCCTGATGAGCGAACACAAGATTGTTTACAGCAAGATTTATTCAACACAGTGCTGGCTACTGTCCGGTGGTCTTGCCCCATCCACAGCCTTTTTTTACAAACATTTTGCATCGAAATTCAATATTTAACAGAAATTTTACGCGAAACAGCTCCGATACACTCCACAATGAAAGATGCCCCGAATGTACAGAAAACAACTTACTTACCAAATTAATTCACTCACTGAAAGAATTTATTACCCTAAAACATGAGATCGAAAGACAAGAAACCTGCGTACGACTAGGTCAACCATTAAAAATCCCTAGAGGTCAACTCGTACCCTTTATATATCACGGCACATCACAACGAAAAGTGGACTTCTATGATATCGTCCGCTTCGATGCCTATAGACTGTGGTGTTTCTCCATCACTTATAACTTCATTATCAAAAATCAATTTACTTATCGTATCAGTCAGCTTCAATTGGGCCCTCATACGATTTTTAGCGTCGTAAATGGGCTCCGTCTGAAAACTAGTAACGTTTCAAAGAAAGAAAAAGAAATGAGGTAGGATTATAGCAAAAATGGGCTGACCAAATTAATGTATGCACAGCGAGGTCTTCCTTTCTCGAAAATACACTTCACTGGTATAAAACTAGGATCCGTACTGAGGTCCTCCTCTAGACCAACGTTCGGCTTTAAAGAGAACACCTTTACCACAGCAAGCTGTAAAAGAATACAACTTCAAAAAGGACCATATTTTTTACACGAAATAATTAGGGTACACACAGAATGAGATACGGAGTTTTATGTGTGGTCCCATAAGGACTATAAAAACTGCAACACCTTGTTTATATCAAGGCCCATGGAATCTGGAGTATCGCCAGGTCCTGCATCAACATCGTTTACATGTATTAAGACATCAAGCTGATTACACTTCAACTCCTTCGCGAATATAGGACGCAGTGAATCAAAAGGCTCAACCTAAACTACATCATATTTAATAGTTCCCAGGATCAACTTTCTATTAACCTCGGCATTGGATTACAAATCTGTTGTTCTCTTTTTTTACAGCAATCGCGAGGTTGTTATTCAACAGATAGCACATTGTTTTATTCACATTCATTTCTTACAAATATAATACATACAACACAACGGTAGCTGACGTTTCGGCAGTATCGTCTTCTTCAGTGCCTGAAAGGGTACACTAATGTAATTTACTAGGTCAAACGCTTCAACAACACGAACGAAAAGATGAAAATCTGACCAATAATTACACGATCACCGGCTTCTCGAAAAACCAATCGTTTTTTATCTGCCTTCTACCGAGGAAGAACAGCCGCTTAGAGTCGCATATGGTTGGCTACTGCACCACCCCACATCAAAAATCAGTTCTGAGATACGGGGCTAGATCACGCGTTATCTCAGGGCATTCTTCCCTGCTATTCATTCTCGGATTTTTGGAATTTATCAAAAAACCATCGAGCAATTTGCGTACTGGTGTTTTAGTCTCCGGTGGGAAGATATTGACTTTAACATCAAAATTGTCTCCGCCATGTTTTTGTATCCTATGCGTGCCTTGTTTTGATTTTCGTTTGCCATCTAGGTGTTCTTTTATGCGGATACATAAAAGTCTGCCCATTTCTCCGATATATTCGTCTCCGCAGGTACTACAAGAAGTCAGGCATATAGTACCTGAACTCATGTAGTCACCGTCCCAGCCGTAAGGGCAAATTACGCAATTTGGCGTTTTACATAGACTCTCATACATGCGGTTGCGAACTAACTTACGACGTAGAGTATCCGGTGGTATTTCAACTATCGCTACCGATTCCTCTAGATCTGCCCCTCTTAAGCATCGCTTTATCGCTACACGTATTTAATCGCTAATGAAGGGCAAGATAAACGGGACTTTGTTTCGGCCAAACCCTTCGTTTTGGGGCGTCGCTCTGCTTCTAAACTTACCTCGTAGCACAACTTTTTCGAAGCCACTGGAGATGGCTATTTCCTGATGGCTAACTTGTATACCCTTGTATAACTTGGATGTTGATGTGGAGTGGTGCAGTAGTCAACCATATGCGACTCTAAGCGGCTGTTCTTACCCCGTTGGAAGGCAGATGGAAAAATGGTGAGTTTTTCGAGGAGCCGGTGATCGTGTAATTACTGTTCAGATTTTCATCCTTCTGTTCGCGTTGTTGAAGCGTTTGACCTAGTAAATTACATATTAGTGTACCCTTCCAGGCTCTGAAGAAGGCGATACTGACGAAACGTCAGCTACCATTGTGTTGTATGTGTTATATTTGTAAGGAAGTAGAGGCGTGCTGAATAACAACTTCGCAATTGCTGTAAAAAAGAGAACAACAGATTTATATCATATTTGTTGTACGGTAAAAATCATGGGTATGGTAAAGCCATGATAAAGATGAAATCGAAGTGAATGTCTGAATATCTGCATAAATAAAAAAGGATGAAGCTCTTGGCGTTGATCAATATCTGAGGGATGCGCCATGCGTTCGACCTCATTAAGCATCACTTGGAGGTGCCATACAAGTCTGGTATCAATTTGCCGAATCCGGAGGGATGAAGGGCATGGAGGGTCTGGGCGTGGTGATCGACCCCATGTGTATTGCGGGGCGCCTGTGACAACTGCGCGATAGGTGCTCTTCAGTATTGTGCACACTATATATGTCTCTTACTTCTAGAACAAACAGCAGTGCTGTAAGTGGACGAGTTGCAATTCCAAAGTAAAGGAGAACGAAATCTAATTAATAACAAATAAGCATAAGAGCAGAGCATGTAGACAGGCAAAGACACACGACAAGCTCACGTACCTGACGTATCGTCATAAAACGACCTGGCTTCAGAGTTTTTGGATCCAGACGAACTGTTACGAAAAGATCAACTTCTTTACCATGCTTTATGGCATCTGGTTCACGTGAATCCACGTTAAGCAAACTCCGTTCTCTTGATAACGGTGCTGCTTCATTCGAGACATCCTCAAGACATTCTTGCCTAGAGAATAAAAGCAGTTTGGAGATCACAAGGAAAACGCATGTCTAAGGCAGTGGTAGACTGGAAAGGAAACAACTCACAAATTAGCTTCTTCTAATAAGACCGTGTCAGGTTTATTCTTCTTAGGAGGAGCTATGCTCTTCTTATTACGAAGAACCATGTCAATAGGTGGGTCCAACACTATTATTTCTAGATGCAAAGGTAATTTTTTCCTACCCAAAGGTAACACGAAAGTTGAAAGAATTTCACAATCAAGATATGTTTCACCTGACTGTTCCACACGCTTCAACCGTCTCTCTCGTCTTCCTTTGAATTTCTGGAAGACTACAAAATAGATAATCGATACTGGTAAGAAGATCTATGTACCAGCTTTAATTCCAGGAATACGAGCACCCTAAAGTATAAGGGAAATGGAAAGTGATTTAATACCTTTAAAAGTGTGTTGTTGGGCTCCAATTCCTCGTCATCAATTATCACTATATCCGGGCTCGGTGTAGATTCTATAAACATTACGTTTCGAAGGCAGTCTCATCGAAATATGAAAATGAGAGAACATTTGTTTGACCCGCCTTTTCGCCCAATATTGTCAGTGGAAGCAACGTCTGGTAATCTACTACAATCGTTGAAAGTAGCTCTAAGTTTCCTTATGTCGATGCTCTTTGTATACAAATCATCATCACTGTCTGATGGAGATTCCTAAAAAAACAAAGGCGAATTGACGCTGGCACAAAGAAAATTACAACGGCATTTTGCATGAATAAAGGACAAGAAGGGATAAAGCTCTCGGCGTTGACCAATCCCTGAGGGATGCACCGTGCATTCGACTCCATTCGTAGCAACGTTGGAGGTCATTGAATGCACATTTGGCCTTTATAATGACTCGCGATGGCTTACCGATGTATCGTCTCAGTGCTGCTATCTTCCCAGACAAGTCTGGTACCAATCTACCGACTCTGGAGGGACGGAGGGCTTGTTGAGCCTGGGGTGCAGAGATCGATCCCATGTGTATTGCGGGACGCCTCCAACCAATGTACGCCCCTATGATCATGAATAGAACAATATTCCGATATTCCGCTGATACTGTTCCAATACAGGTCTTTCTCGCTATATCAAATGACCCACATAACTAGAAAAGAAGTGCACAATTGATGAAACGCTATAAATGAAAAGATGAGAAGTCAAACGAGTAGGACCTTTTTCTTCAGTTTTGTTTTAAAGATCCTAGTAAATTACAGCTCCAAATACCATAGAACAGCTGAGTGATTGGAAATCGGAAATATTGAGAAAAAAAACCACCTGTGTTGTTTTCCTAGCACCGTTCATCGGACAGGTCGGGCGAGTTCGGATGTATCCAGATTAAACTAAACCCTAAAGGCTGTGCAACACTCAATCATCTATTTTCTAAGGAAATGGTGCCAATCATGAACAACATGGGCAAAAAGAACAAAGACAGAAGAGACGAAGCCAACAAATACTACAAATAAGGTGATGGATGGAGATTGAATTTTGAAAATGTTAAGTATACGGTAATCAAAAAGTAGTTACCTGCAAAATATGCTGCAGGCAGCACGCACCATAGACGTCAAACATTAAGACGAAATGCTTATTCCAACCAGATTTGTTTGCATACCATGGTTGTAAAACTTCTTTAATCTTGTCTTTTGTTCACAGTAATAGTAACCGGTAATGGTAGGTAATAATAAACAATGCGAAATACGGCGCGTCTGGCGCAGTGGTCAGAGGCGCACTGTGATACATATGGAGTCGATCCCCACGCCCTAGGCTCACAAAGCCTCTCATCCCTCCGGGGTCGGCGAATTGGAACTAGGCTTATCTGGGAATATGGCAGTGCTGGGTCGATACATCAGTAGGCCACCGCCAGTCATAATAAAGGTCAGATGTGCACTGAATCATCTCAAACGATGCTACTAAGGTAATCGCACGCATGGCGCATCCTTCAGGGATTGGTCAACGCCGAGAGCTTTATCCTCTGTCCTTTATGACGTCTTAGAGTTCTCAGACGGTCTTCTCCTTGACAAGATGGGAAATATTTGTATATACAACGTTGGATGCTCTTATGAATGGATATCATCCACGCATAAAACTTTTCTGTACTCTGTAATCTGTACGATCTTTCAAAAAACTGCATGAACTTCTTTCAATGACTGATGAATTGGAAGTTGGGGATCGATTTGCTGATTACTGTGTTTTGGTAAATCTCGGTAAATTTTGGTAAATCAGTTTTGAGTTGAGAGGTAACTGATAGTTTCAGCCCAGCCGCTTTTGCAGTTTTAACCCATTCATTGTTTAATTTTCGGTATTGAATTTCTTGATGAGCTTACACGAGGTTGGTAAATATATTTATTTTCGGCTAACGTTTCGATGTCTTCGTCTTCATCAGAGCCGATGATCCGAGTCGATGGTCGACGCTTGTTATTCCTCTCGATATGGCGGCTTCGCCTTCGTGTCGAGTCAGGTCTTCCTCAGCGGGCCATCTCCTGGAATGAGGTATTGAGTTTTAAATTCTCAGATGATAAGTGAAAGTGGGATGTATCTTGAAGATGCTTTTTCGTTATATCTAGACGAACAGATAAGGAATTACTAAAAACTCTCCACCTTTACCACTAGCAGGTAGTCTTATGTTTTTCAACCTTATATAGTTCCAGCATACCACATTTTTGCACCTCTCTGAACGATATCTCTTCGCGCGATATTAATTAAGGATTTTGAAAGTTTCTTTCGTAATTGTCCGAAACTTAGTGTCCACGTCATCATTGGGTTCTTGCTGTCTAATGAATGGCTGAGGAAGGTTACCTAATTGTCTGGCTGAGTATGAAGAAGACGAAACCACCAAAATGTCAGCTACTGTGAATAAATAGTGCAGTAAGAACTTCGCGTCTGCTCGTTAAGAAAACTGAATTATCTGTAACTACATCATCGTCGACGTTAAAAGAAATTGGGCCCTGGGATTTGATAAATGAAGGCATACGGATGCGATCATCATGGTTTTCCGATGGCCATGTTCCGGTGGGCGTTGCGATTGCTTTTCGCAGCTTCTGCAGCTTCGACCATGACTGCTGCTCGTCTCCAAAATCTTTAATCGCCTGTCTTAATTGTTTTGCAAGTTCGGGCATTAGTTGGCGGTTGCCTGCAGCTCATGTGAATTCACGCTGTCGTGCCAGCTCGAGTGTTCTTGAGGACAGACGCCTCTTTGTAATTTTTAAACTCTGTCTCTTTCGTAGTACTAATGTGAATCTTGTAGTACTCATCTATGTTCTTAATGGCAGCATCTTTCCAAAATTCGACCAATGACGCGAGTAAACTTCAATTTATGGTGGTTTTGGGACTTCGATCCTTGAGCAAAGCGGCTTTCCCTCTTTCCGCGAGAAAAGGAATCTTGCGCGGAGGCGGTGGTCTGGTTAGGCCAACAGTAACATCGGTTAAACAAAACTTTCTATTTGCTGTGATGTGGTCTACCTCATTATTGTACTCTTCACTGGGGAATTTTCACGTCCACCGTTGAGGGCGTGGCTTCTGATATTGCGACTTACCGTGGGCGGTCTTGGCCGTCAAAACTCGGACAGTAATCCGTGAGCTTCAATGTATAGAACGCTTCGATTTTTCCTTATAGCTCGATGTCAGTGCGTTGACGACAGGATTGTCAAAGTCGGTATTGATCCACATCTTTCCAACTGTGAACGTCCGATTCGGATTGTTATTTGTACGAATGAATCGATATTCACGGCCATATTCGTGTTAGCGAGAACGCCGATGCCGTCGACGCCGCCGTCTCCTCTACTGTCGCATGTTCCGAGGAACAGTTCTTCTCCGGTATCGTAATAACGTTGAATGGATGACGTCGTCTCGTCTCGGCCAGGCCGATGATGTCCTACCTTATCCTTCTTGCTTGCATGATCAAGTCTTATCGAGTCCTATCGAGGACTGCATTCTAGCTACAGATCGGCACTCCAGTCCTTCGAGATTAAGGCAACTTGGAACGATCTAGATATTTTAACAGCGTGTTAGCACTGGCCCTACCCAGCACTGCCGTATCGGAAGTTCTCTCGAAGTCAACATAATGAAGCCCACTTATTCCACCTTGTTTACGTTTATTACTCATTCAAACCTTGCTGTGTTCTCAAATTGGGACCTCGACACACTCACGGCTGGTCTGTCAGCCTTTCCCAGAGTAGACGAGAAGCTTATTTGTTTGAAGGGGACGCTAACAACCTCCCATATACTTCTTCATCACTTTACTACGAGCTTTTGGCAGAAATGAATACAATCCACATAGACGAGAACACACCCACACACGCATGCATGAACACATCCTCGTAGAAACATAAGGTACATATCAAATCAGCGGTCGCATGAATCCAATTGCGTCTCAGCTAAACCGAGGTGGTTTTTGGTACATGATTAAAACGCTATGCGTAACCTGGTGACATGCCACTTAGCGTCGCGTGTAACGATTTTAGGATCCCACTATGAGGGAGATCCGTGGGTTTCTATTCCATACATCATAAATTTTTGCATAACGCTCTGCACTCTGACTGGCGTAATTCTGTGCGTATATTGCTTTCGTCCATCATCCGCTTTGCTGTGTAATGCTTTTTACACTTTAGCTTCACTGTGATTGCCCAAGTTTGAGATTTGGCGTATAGTTGCGACTCAAGAAGACTCGTTGCGCAGAGTCATCACATACAACGGAATTTCACTATAGTGGCATTGTCCACATAACCTTCCTTGTTTATTTAACGAAATGAACATCATTTGTTGGGTTATTTATTCTTGTAAATAGGATTTGTAGGATTTGCATTTATTCTTCATATCTCGTAGATCTATTGAACAACGCTTTACATTATAGTTAGAGCATTGCTTAGGTGTGATCCTCTTGTCCACCGAACCAGTTCACCATTAGTTTACTATATATAAATTTCTGAGCTTCACTGTGTCAAAATTTTATGTATAAACGCGTCAATTATACAAGTATGACATTTGACGTAACGCTGAGAACTAAGAGGACCTTTATGGTAAAACCAACACGTAAGAACGAAGTCTTTAGCAGCGCCTTTTTACTGCACTTTTCATACTCCATTAATAGGCTTCCGAACACAAATGCTGTCATGTGACGCCCATAAAAAGCTAGTCTACACACCAAATAATTTTCAAAAACATTGTTCCGTAGGATGTTATCGACCTAGAATTCGGTTATAGAAATTAGCGAAGTATACACAAAGTAAGTTGTGAAACAATTCCAAATGCTCATGCCACTGTCATTATGGTAATATTAAGGTCCATAGTTCCTAATCCATAAGAACCTGTTAACAGTGCCTTACACACAATACATGCAGTCAGCGCGGTAGAGAAGTCTGCTAGAATTTCACCATGTTCTCAATACCTCAATCCCTACATTTATTGAAAAGTCGTCATCTGTTTTGAGCGTCGGGCCTCATCTTTTAAGCAGTTGCTCCTACAGTATGCACACGATACAGTCAACACGTAAGGGTAACTGCCTCAGGAATGACTAGTGCAATGGTAATGGGAGTGGTTTGACCGCGTGCCGTTCTCACTAAGCCTTCCATCCTTTTGAGATCGGGAAATTGGTACCAAACTTGTCTAGGAACAGCTGGCTTTCTACAATCCAAGAGAAACGCTCTAATTCGGATATCTCAAGACTCCAGAGAGAATCAACTCGCCGAGCATTCATCAACATGACAGATGGAAAAATCCTCAAGCAGCAGTCGAACATAAAAGCCAAGGATGGAAGCCTTTCGTAGATGATGGATGCGAGAAAACGAATCGAATGGGAGAAGTGCTGAAATCCGCAGACTAAGTGTGGACAGGTCGTGTAAATATGTGAAAACTGTCTTTTCGTGAAATTGTTCATTCCTTACTTGATGGCCCACCCTCATTGGTTGTGCAGGCTCTAGCATAATCTCCATTTTCGGCGGTTTGCTAGTTAAGCCATTGTGATTCCCTGGAATTCCGAGGTCAGCTAGGTCAGTTTTTCCGAAGTCACCACCAAAGGCAGTCGCCGACCTTGTGGATCAGAAGAAGATTGGCTACCATGCGACTTTGATACCAGGACGGTGGTGGATCCTGGTACTGGTTTATTCTTAGTTAGGCTTCCTGATGGAAACGCCGGACTCAGCGTGGCAGGCCCTGCGTGGGGGGTGGGGAGGGGGGACGAATCCCCTGCTGTACATCGCAGTCTGACACCCAGAAACACCTCCCAGCCACTATGAGGAGGTAAACCATTGGGAGGAACCTGCTCATTACTTCTTTTCTTAGCATCCTAGCTCGATACTTCATAAACTCAACCGCATGGCGTATAGTAGAATGTTTCTATCATTGTACCAACAAAGTTATTTTCACGTCTTTCTTTATGATTATTGACGACGTCAAGAAAGATTGGAGAATTGCTTCAGCAGATTTGTGACAGTTCACATTTTCTTTCTATATTGATTCGTCCATATCTAAAAGTTCAGCTATTCACGTATGAGGTTCATGCAGGGAACTACTGTACGGCTAAACGAGAGATAAATAAGTAATTTATACTGTCATCAAGCCTTTTATCCACCAAATGCATCTTAACGCACTGTATTAAACCAAGTGAAGGTTTAGGCAATAAAACCAATCTAGTGCTTCCGCCTCATATTCTATTGGGATTTCCTCTAGTGTTAGTAATCAGAAACCCTATCTAGCAAAACCTTGTTTTACAGAAACAGCACTAAACTACAAAAGAAATAGCTCAGACGCGGTCAGAGGTAGACAGAGGTCTGCACAAAAATCACGAGGTTGAAGACTTGAACGGTGACCTGGTTGGGAAAGTGAACATCCTGTCTATGAGTATAGAATGTAACTCCGCACTCGTATCATCTACGTTCCACCGATGTTTACCTGATTCGGTAGATCGGAAATCGATCAGATGACTTCGTAAGGATTGGTGCAAGATTTACAGTTTTTCAAACACTTCTCCTAACCTGAACAAAATGGTATCGAAAGCCAAGCAGTAAAAACATCTTGGTTCACTACCGCTCCTCTCACCCCTCACACACTAAAAAAGCGCTTATAAGAAATATGTTTCGAACCGCCGCCAGCGTGTGCACAGGTAGAGAGCAGAGGGAAGAATCCTCGAAACTGGCGCGGCAAATAGCCATTTCAAATGGTTACGAAACTGTAGCTTCCCAGGATAGGCATCGAGGAAATCCCACGCCCCAGAGCGATAATTCTAGCGAAAACAAGGCTCCGTTCCTGTTGCCCTTTATTTCAAACGAAATAAGTGCAGCCACAAAAACGTTGCTTAATAAGGGCCGGTCTAAAGTATCCCGTAAGAGTGATAGAAATACCATCGGACAATCTAAAACGCCAGCTAGTTCTTCGCAACCGCTTATACGACCGTCTATGTGCAACGCAAAATTGCATAATTTGCCCCAATGGTAGAGACGGTGATTGTATGAGTTCGGGTACAGTCTATCTGATCGCTTGTGAAAGGTGCCGGAACGAATACGTTGGCGAAACGGGTAGACCGCTCTGCGTCCGCATAAAAGAACACCTAGTCGGCAAACGTAAACCAAATACTCCACTAGGCGTGCATAGAATGCAGGAACACAACGGAGAAGATTTCGAAGTGGGAGTCACTATCCTCACACAGAAAACGAAAACATCAGCGCGTAAAATTCTTGAAGCGTTTTGGATCAATTCCAAAAATTCAGAAATGAACCGCGAGGAGTGTCTTGTTATCACGCGTGACCTGGCGCCATACCTCAGGCTGATCCAATGACCTGACACAGGCACATCCTTTCCCATGTATAACTCTGTGCGGCGGCTATCCATCAGCTAACTTAAATACTTACAACAAATAAACGGTAGGTGTTTAAATAAAGCTGTTTCTTATGCGAATATAAATTTATTTGCTAAATTTTATCTACTGGGCTTATGAAAGTGTTTGGCTGAGTAGATCGCATCTCAATTTGACCTTTCCAGGTTCCGAAGAAGGCGAAACCGCCGAAACCTCAGCTACTGTATCCTAATAAGTTCTATAATAACAACCTCGTGTCTGCTTATTGAAGAAAAATATCGGATTATCTATAAGTGCCAAGGTTAAAAGAAAGTCGGTCATGGGAATCAC